ATTATTTAAGGGGGAGTTTAATTTTTAAGCTTGGTTTAAATGAGTCGATTATTTAAGGGGGGGTTAATTTTTAAGCTTGGTTTAAATGAGTCGATTATTTAAGGGGGGGTTAATTTTAAGCTTGGTTTAAATGAGTCGATTATTTAAGGGGGGGTTAATTTTTAAGCTTGTTTTAAGTGAGTCGATTAATTAAGGGGGAGTTTAATTTTTAAGCTTGGTTTAAATGAGTCGATTATTTAAGGGAGGGAGTTTAATTTTTAAACTTGGTTTAAATGAGTCGATTATTTAAGGGGGGGTTAATTTTTAAGCTTGGTTTAAATGAGTCGATTATTTAAGGGGGAGTTAATTTTAAGCTTGGTTTAAGTGAGTCCATTATTTAAGGGGGGGTTAATTTTAAGCTTGGTTTAAGTGAGTCGATTATTTAAGGAGGGGGTTAATTTTTAAGCTTGGTTTAAATGAGTCGATTATTTAAGGGAGGGGGTTAATTCTTAAGCTTGGTTTAAGTGAGTCGATTAATTAAGGGGGGTTTAATTTTTAAGCTTGGTTTAAATGAGTCGATTATTTAAGGGGGGTTAATTTTTAAGCTTGGTTTAAGTGAGTCGATTATTTAAGGGGGGGTTAATTTTTAAGCCTGGTTTAAATGAGTCGATTAATTAAGCGGGAGTTTAATTTTCAAGGCGGATTCATGGATGTATTTGGAATTGTTCCGCAGGTTATATCCGGAACACCAGCAGCATCTCCCCCCGGGGTTACTCCTCCAGCTCCACCCCCCAGCAGTCCAACTACAGCACCTCCAGCAACAGCATGAACGGCTACAGCAACGTGCCCATGGGCAACCTGGGCGTGCCGGGCTCGCCGGGCTTCATCAACGGCTCTCCCACGGGCTCGCCCTACGGATGTACGGCCCCGGGGCTCCCACCGCCCCTCTGCTGCTCCCAAAGTCCAGTCATTGAGCCCAAAATGGAGGGGTTGGGGAGGAGAGGCTGATCTGGGCTTGGGGGGGTTTGGGTGCTGACCAAAATGATCCGTGTTTTTCAAGAGGAGGAGAGGAATAGTCAAGATTGTTTCTTTTTGCCTTCCTTTTTAAGTCCTTACGTAATTATTGCTATGATATATTATTGAATATTACACATTATAGTATTACATATACATTTCATATATAGTATATTATTATATATTATTGTATATTACACATTATAGTACTACATATACATATACATTACATATATAGTATATTTTTATATATTATTGCATATTACATATTATAGTATTACATACACATATATATTTCATATATAGTATATTGTTATATATTATATATCATTATGGATTATATTACTATATTATCACATATTACTACATTGCATATTACTATATATTATATATGACTATATATTATATATTGTTATATATTAAAGATTATAGATAATTACATATTATATTATATATCATGGATTATCAATTATAGATTACTATATATGACTATATATTATATATTGTTATAGATTATAGATAATTATAGATTATATATAATTATAGATTATATATAATTATAGATTATCGATTATAGATTAATTATAGATTATATATCAGTATAGACTATCGATTATCGATCACTATATACTATATATGACTATATAGTATATATTGTTATATATTATAGATAATTATATGGCACCAAGTGGCCAGGCCATTACTGCTCATATTGACTCTCTCCTTTGATGACTTACAATTTTCTGGTCTCCTCACCCTTCATTTTTGAAGATTTAACCCCTCTTTTCTGAACTATTTAATATAAATAGATATAAAAATATAATTCGAGTCACTGTGAGAACGAGACCTTCTTGAAGGGCTAAACCGAGGCACTTTCAGCAGTTTTACCAAACTTCTACAGTTGCATTTCTGATGAAAAAAATGCCTTTTTTGTTTTTTTCCTCCCCTTTGCAGTGATGTCCTCCAGCCCCACCGTTGGCTCCTCCAGCACTTCTTCCATCCTTCCCTTCTCCTCCTCCGTCTTTCCCGCTGTCAAACAGAAGAGTGCCTTCGCTCCTGTCATCAGACCCCAAGGGTCTCCTTCCCCTGCCTGCTCCAGTGGCAATGGAAATGGGTTTAGAGGTAAGAAATGGGCTAAACTGATATTAAACCCCTGGCAGGGGCAAACACAGCCACCACCTGGATGCCATCCCACTGATATCCCAGGGAAAGTCTGCCCAGGGAACTGGATTAAAGCAACAATCCAAGTTCACAGAATCATCATAGAAGCAGTTGGGTTCCACCATGAGCAGTCACTCTTTATTTCACACCTTGATTTCCATCTGGCAAGAGAACATGTGTGTAAAATATATATACATTATATAATATATATATTATATACATTATATAATATATATATCATATATAATGATTATTATATATAATTATGATTATATATAATATATAATATATATCATCATTATATATCATATTATATCATCATTATTATTATATATATAATGATGATTATATATATTATATATATCATATTATATATCATTATATATATTTTATATATATAATGATCATTATATATATAAAATATATTATATAATATGTATATATATAAAATATATACATTACATTTATTTATTATATATATTTTATGTATATACCACAAACTGTGATGTAGGCAAATAATTAAACATATATATTATATATGTACATATATAAAGACAGGATGAGCAATTACACATATATTGAATTATTATAATTTAATTATTTACCTCCCCCATGGCTTGTGGAGGATCACACCTTTCCAGGAAGCCCCTGGTAGCCCATAAAATACCATTTTATTTCATTTACATGTTAAGCAGAGCAGTGTTTAGGCCTGGATTAAAACCAGCTGGGTTGGAAGGGACCTCCGAGATCATCAAGTCCAACCCTTGATCCAACCCAGCCCATGGCACTGATGCCACATCCAGTCTCTTCTTAAAAACCTCCAGGGATGGAGAATCCACCCCTTCCCTGGGCAGCCCATTCCAATGGCTGAGCACCCTCTCTGCAAAGAAATTCTTCCTAAATTTTTTTGTTTGGTTTTAAACCAGAAGGGTCCAAACGCTCGTTTTCACACCGAGAAAGGTCTGAGCCGATGGGGCACTTCAACCACAGCCTGGTTTGGGTTGGGAGGGACTTTAAACCCATCCCTTTCCAACCACCTTCCACTAGAATATAGTGGAATAGAATCATAGAATCCCAGAATCAGCTGGGTTGGAAGGGACCTCCAGAATCATCCAGTCCAACCCTTGATCCAACCCCGCCGTGGTTCCCAGCCCATGGCACTGATGCCACATCCAGTCTCAGCTTAAAAACCTCCAGGGATGGAGAATCCACCACTTCCCTGGGCAGCCCATTCCAAAGGCTGAGCACCCTCTCTGCAAAGAAATTCTTCCTAAGTTTTTCTCTTTGGTTTGGGAAGGACCTTAAACCCATCCCTTTCCAACCCCTTTCCCCTAGAATATAGTGGAATAGAATCATAGAATCAGTTGGGTTGGAAGGGACCTTCCCCTAGAATACAGTGGAATAGCAGCTCTTTTGTGAGGAATGGCTTCTCCTTGGGCTGCGGGGACTTGTTAAACACGGGTTAATACTCAGCTCTGGGCAAAACAATCCCGGCTTTAAACCTGCGGCGAGGTTTAGGCTCAGCCCGGGAATTGAGCCCCGCAGCCCATTTACAGCCCCTTTAAAGGTGATCTGCGAAACAAATGTGGGCAGCGAGATAAGAACGGGAACCCGCCTCGATTCTGGCGTTTTACAGGCTGCGGAGGGGGGGAGCTGTGGCACATAAATGTGCTCCGAGTCTCCATAAAAAAGCCTTTATAGGGCCGGAGAAGTCATCTGGCTCCTTCAGCCTTCGCTGGAGATCCCAGAGCAAACCCGGCTCTGGGAATTGAGCCCAGCCAAGAGGCAGTGGGAATTCTAAATGAGCCCTACAAACCACACCTGCCGGGGTGGGGGGGCACAGAAACCCTCAGCTGGGCCACGGGGACTCGCAGAAACCGGGATTATTTGGTGTCACAAGGAAATTCTGAGCCTGCCGACCAAAAACAATTCGGTTTTTAAAAGCCAGTTTAGGGAATTCTGCGACAGCTTCTTCCCCTGCCCCGTTTCCATGAAAATCCGTGGTTTTCTAAGATCATCTTCTCCCCATTAACGAAAGATCATCATCACCCCATTAATGAAAGATCTTCTCCCTATTAATGAAAGATCATCATCTCCCCATTAATGGGCAAACCCATTGATCTGCCTGTGTAAATCCACAGGTATTGTGTAGACAGGGAATATAATTTGTTTTCTCTGTTTAAGGAAGATGAAAAGGAGGACTTGAGGCAATGTTTTTAAACTCTAGGTATAGAAAGTTTTGTTGGCCCAACAGTTAAACTATTTAGAAATGGGTTTATCCTTGTTAATGTTCTGTATGATCCTGGTGTCTAAAGAGTCACCATTGCCACCCACCCTGCAGGTATCTTTTTTTTCCTTTTTTTTTTTAGGGGGGAAGTGTTTTCTGCATCAGTCATTGAAAGGGTGTATTTATTTCACTGCATTTTTAGAAAAAAGGAGAGGGTTTTGCTGTTTTAGGGAACTGTTTCAGGGCGACGTAATTTCAAACTGTTTTAATTAAACATTTAAGTAGGAAGGCCATTAAATTAAGAGCAGTTTGCTTGTTTAGCTTAAGCTTAATGTCAGGACAAATCAGCGTGTTTAGAACAGATTTAAGTCTGCTTTAAAGTTAAACTTGTCTAACTGCTTTGTAGAGAAGGCCTAAATATTAAGAAGTTACCTGAGGTAGAGCTGAACACAAATCAGTGAGAAAAATCACTCAGATTGTTCCTGGGAGGCAGAAAGAGGACAGATTAAAAACCAGCTGACTTCGTATTTAAATTAATAATTTAAATTAAAGTAAGGTAAACCTGCTTAGCAAAAGTTTCTCTCTTTTTTAACCTGTCTATAAAGAGGGGAAGTACCAGAGACCATTTGGTGCTATTTATGCCACTTGATGTTGACAACATGTTTGATGCAGTGATCAAATATGAGATCGATAAATCAGTGATCAATAAGAGACTGTAAAAATGAAGCTTTGATATTAAATATAACAAAATCTCCACACTAAAACCTCGCATCCATGAATTTTTAGTGACAAAAGTCCACTCCTTGTTCAGAATTAAAGTTCAGGATTAATTAGTGAGTGAAGTCAGGATACAAAGACCTGGGCATAGATAAATGGCTACAGAATTTATTGACCATGTCCCTTTCTTTTTGTGGGATTTCTACACCAACACAAACATAAATATATTACTTTAAGGAGCTGTGGTTCCCTCACAAACACATCTGCCCAGGGTTTGTTACGCCAGGTCCTTGGAACTCCTGAACTCTTCCAGCCACGGAGGCGAATTCCAAGTGAAATATTGAAATGGCTGCAAGCTGGGGAGCACATGCCCTGGAAAGGCTCCAGGTACACAGAGCCTGATCTCCAAATGAACATTCCCACAGTGCTGACAGACACATGTGGCCAAAAACTCAGCGGGAGGCTCCCAGAGAGGCTCCTTGAATGGACTCACTGTGCTGGGGCAATGGGAGACTGAGAATTCCTGCCCCCTCCCTGTGCCAGAAACCAGGAATGGCTGGGCTGGGCATGTAATTCCTGATTTATTTGCTGCTGGACCAAACTTGGGCATCAGCAAACAGAGCTGGATTGGAACAGCCAAAGCACAGTGAATATCTGCAGGTCCCTTCCCAAAGCCCATCAGGGAAGTGTTCTGACATCACCTCTCCATTTTCCCTCCCATAATATGTGGAAAACATCCCCATGGGGATTTTTTTTAGCTTTAATGTAAAGTTTGGGATGTGTTTTGGCTACATCTTTTGTTCAAGGGCAGGTTTCCTGGTGATACAACCTCCATCCTCCTCACTGCAGCCTGTTGCAATGAGGATATCTGAAATAATAATATGTATGATCTAATTGTATATTTATAATTAGTAGTTATAGCCATATTTGTTATTATTGTTGTTATTATTATATCCATTAATTAATAGCAGCCCCCCAGAGCGTGCCATTCTACTCACAAGCCCTACTGAAAATCTAGAATATAACTTCCATGTGTGGTAACCACAGCAGTGTTTAAGCCTGGGTTAAAACCAGTCTAAACAGAAGCTTCATCCTCAGATCAGCATTCCCATTATTCCAGCAGTTTACAGGGAGAAGTTTTTTTTTCCAAAAATGTATTTTTGGAGAACTTGGTGATGCTCAGAAGCTGCTGGTAGGAAATATGTATATAATATACTTCTATACTATATTATATATTAATACTATATTAATACTTATAATACTTCTACTATAATAATACTTATAATACTTCTACTATATTAATACTTCTAAATAATAATGCTATAATAATATATTATATATATTATATGTAGAAATATATATATATATATAAAATATATAGAAGTATTAACCAAGCCTGAAACTTGCAGCTCTGCTGACTTTGGGCTGCACAACAGCCAAGACATGTGGGATCCCCTTGGATAACCCCCCGTGCCACGTGTTCCTGCTTTTCCTCTCCCCCCTGCCATCTGCTCCACATTCCCACAGTGTAACAGCCCGTGGTAGGTAGGGAAGGAGCAGGAATTCCAGCCTGGCCCCCTCCGCCTTCCCTGTGCTCTCCAGATTGGGAGCAGGTGATTCCCAGCCCAGCAGCCCTCGTGCCCGTGTCAGGGCTGTTTAGGAAGGGCCCTGGGAAGATAAGAAGTGATGGGACACAGGAACAAAACCCAACTGCCCAACCCACTCACCTCACTGATGGGAAAGGCAGGAAAATTGGAACCTGCTGGAGCAGATTCCCTTTGGCTCAGCACGTGAAAATGCAAAGCCCAGTTCCAAGGAATAGCAGGCAAAGCCCAGAAAGGCAGATATTCCATGAACCACCAGGATCCTGGTGGGATTGGAGGTACTGGAGGCTGCTGCCCTAAGGAACAGCCTCCATTTGCACCATTCCCTAAATAAATCCAGGTGTTTATGCTGAAGGATCTAATTATTAGGATCTTGTCTGGAGGAAGTTAGGAGTGTCAGCAGCACTGGGCAT